ATACATCTCTACTCTGATTCCTTATGCATTGATTTAATAGCTTAACTGTCAGCAAGCCATATTATTTTCATTGTTTCAGAATTCTCTCCACCTCTCCCCCATTGTAGCCCTGACAGAATGAGCAAATCAGTTTTGTAGTGTTTCACACACGCACGTAAATCTTTTTTTCTTTTTAAACATTTCACTCGATGTATTAATAGGGGTCTGCTGGCGGGATTTGACTCCCTAGGAAAGATTTAGTTTTTACTTCAAATAGTACCAATTGGTTGATTTTATTTAAATGTTTTTTAGAATTTTTCACTTATTACTTTGAAATTACTGGTTTTTAAAAATATATTTCTCTATACAGTATTTTCCCATTTTCCAGCTACTGATTTGGATGTGATTTGTAGGTGTTTTAAAATTTAACCCAGTACTTGAGACTTTAGAATTGTTTTGCTAGACATCATATTTAACTTGGCGCTTATACACGTAAAGAAAACTAAGGCTGTTTTGAAATATCAACATAATAGTAGTGATCAGTTTGCCAAAGAAAGATTTGTGTGGTTCTGATTTTATTTAACTTCTTAGTGATTGTTCTCCAGCTCAGGAAGCCTGCGGTGTTGCGTAAATGCTTCAACTTTGTAAACTTGCCCACTGCCAACCCTTCTCTTCCCAGTGATTATCTTTTAATAACCTCTTATAAAGTCACTTGCATCAAATTTCCACCAGGTCTTTTACTTTCCAAGGTAAAACTGACACACCTCATAGCATCAGTAACGGTGCGGAACTATGAATCATACTTTTTTCTTTTTTTAGAACATTATCTGCAAATCTACAAACCAACTTTGAGATACTTTAAAATCATAGGGGGCCTTATTTAAGCAAACATTAAGTAGAACATTTCAACTTTATGCAATGTTGACTAAGTGGTTGAATTTGACGTGTATTAACCTTGTAGAATTTCCAGGTTTTCTTAGACATGGCGTAACTTCCCGTCTCATTCTGGTACCTTCAGAATATGAAGGTGCCTCTGTCTTGCAATGTTTTCTAATACTATGGACCACCTTCACACCCCCCTCTTTTCCATGCATGTTGATTTTTATTTTTTTAAATAACATTGTATTGTGTTTTTGGTGAAAGTTTATACAGCAAATTAGGTTCCTGTTTAACAGTTTCTCCACAGATTACTCAGTGACATCGGTTACAGTTTTCACAAAGTGTCAACAATCTCATTATTTCTGTTCTAGTTGTATGTTTGCAGCAATCTAGTTTCCCTGCCCCCTTACGTTCTCATCTTTGCTTTAGATAATTATCGACTATTGACAGCAAAGGGTTTGGTTTTGTTTGTTTGTTTTTGGTTTTTAGTCTCATATAGGTGATTTTCTTTAAAGAAGCACAGTATTCATGGGTGATATTCTTTACTTTATGAGCCAGTCTGTTCTTTAGCTAAAAGGTGACCTCAGAATCGTTTTGGTTCACAGTTTAAAGTATCTCAGGGAGATAGTCTTGGGGAGTCCTCTAGTCTCAACTGATCGAGGAAGTCTGGACTTTATACGAATGTGAGTTCTGTTCCAACCATGCTTGTTTATTTTTAATGCCACTTTCTCCTACCGGCGAGGAGTGTTTCTAAATGTCAGGTTGTTGACTTACTACTCCCATTCCCCACTTCTAACTGCTTCATCTTCCAGGCTGAGGGCTCTAAATAGGACCCTTACTTCATAAACTGGGTCTCATAACATGTGGTATGCTTTGCAAGAAGATAGCCAGCCTGGGCCACCTCTTGCTCCCAGAGAAACCCAGTCCCAGGATAGAGTGGGCCTAGCATTCAGTCAGAGCTGCTGAGGCAACTCCTGTCTTCAGGGTCTCTGACAACCCATGACTGCATTCCAGTGGCCATTTGAATGCCTTGCGATGTCCCTCCTGGGTCCTTCTAGGAATCTGGGGTGTGACAGGTTGATCTAGGGGAAAGAAGTGGAAGACCCAAATTTGAATCCTAAAATATACCTTCAGATGTCTCTTAGGTAGACGTACGCATATAATCCACCTAGGCCTCTGCTTTTTTGCCTGTAAAACACAGGAGTTGGAATAAATCAGATTGCAAACTCAAATGCCTCCAGGCTAGGCCTAGACTGAGGCAAAGAGGCGAGTGCATGCCCCACTAAAGAGGTCCCCTAGATTTGGGCTTTCTTGTCATGGTGAGGCAGCACAGGCCTGGTGATGCTGTATCTTACGACTTTTCAAGGGAAGCTGAAAATCTTGATTTTTATGTGAAAGTTAATTATTTTAAATGCTAGCAATTCATTCACAGTCTTTAGAAATACTGTACAAGACCAAGCAAAATGTGTCTGTGTGCCAAATTTGCTCTGTAGGCCTTTGGATAAGATGATGACTAAGGCCTTTCTGAATCACATATTTTTGGTATCTGTTTTTCTGACATTCTTGGAGGAGAACATATAGTGTCCTGGCAAAAGTAACATAGAGAAGAAGGCTGGGTGGTTGAGTTGGGAGGCTTGATTTGGCTGTAACCAATAGCATGTCAAATATTAAGAGTACTTTTCTACTCCTGGAACGGTATGAGGAATTGGGAGATTTCTGTAAAAGTCTAGCTAAGTAGTAGCTGCTGCTCCATAGCAACTGCCGTTTACCATCTAGGCAGCGTTAATTCTGTGCTGAAGCGAATAGAGATGGAATTGTGGCTGAGCTTTGTACCCAGCGTGCGAACAGATACAGTAGAAGGATCCCAAAGATGGTAGCAATTCTCCAAAAGCAGAAGAGATCTCATTTTTCGTGTTGTTTTTCATGGGAAGGGATATCATATTTTAGGAAGATGCCAGCTTAAGTATAGGGTAGAATTTTTCTCCAATTCTAGTAGTGTGGCATTAAGGAAAGAGAACAAGGCAGAGAGCAGCATGCCCAGGCTATAAGCACTGTGAAGGCAATACCACCTGTGCCCACGGTGTCATTAGGGCAACCTGTGGAAAAGTAAGAATGAATTACAAGTTTTTGCTAACCACAGAATCAGTTTAGAGCATGTGTTGTAAAAAATTAATATTTTCCAATTAATGTACTCGTTTTTGCTAACCACAGAATCAGTTTAGAGCATGTGTTGTAAAAAATTAATATTTTCCAATTAATGTACTCGTTTTTGCTAACACTAACACAGTGACTCCAAATCTCATCCGCGTCCCCTTTGAGAAGCTAAGAAAAGCAGTATTCCCTCTTTCTAGAAAAATACAGGTAGTAAAGTAAATATTTTAGGCTTTGTGGACCATTTGGTATCTGCTGAGACTATTCAACTCTGTAGTCACAGTGTGACAGCGTTTGTAGATAATAGGAATGGGCGTGGCTGTGTTCTAGTAAAACTTTATATTCAGAAACAGGCAGCAGGCCATTTTTGACCTCTAGGCCATAGTTTTCTAGCGCCTGGCTTAGAGCATTGATGGCTATGCTAGATTGGAATATTAATCAGCAGTTCTTCACTCAGCTTCCCCTTCCCTCTGGGTGAAGAATACTTCCCTGCTCCGGTGCCTTTGGGCTTGGCCTTGGCACATGCTTTGGGCAGTGGAAAGTGAGCAGACTTGATGTGTACAGAGATTATAAATTGTTTACATGGTCTGACTTATCTCTTGTGCTCTTGCCATTTGCCATGAGAAGAACACACCACGGCTGTGCCTAGTCCAAAGAGGATGGTAGACACAGGGAGCAGATCTGAACCCACAGTTTGAAGCAGACTCCGCTGCCCACAGCCTGAAGCAGAGTTGCCCAGCTGAGCCTAGCCTACATCAGCAGAACTTCAGACAACCTGCAGACCTGTGAGCTTGAGAATAAATGTTTGTTGTTTTAAGCCACTGAATTTTGGGGTAGTTTGTTATGCAACATAATTGTAGCAATAACTGGCTAATACTATAGTATAGTGGGTAGTTACCCATCTAGAAACAATTAAGACATCAATCTCTTTTTCAAAAACCAAATCAACAAAAGAGGATTCTCATCTCTTCACGCAGAGCCCAGAAAAAGATACGGGGATATTTTTATTTTATAATTCTCTAACCTCCTCCCACGTTTCCCCTGTGGTTAGAATAAACCCTGAATTATAGCTTTTGGTTCCTGTGTGTACAGCTAATCAATACTTAACACCTTTTTAGAGAGGCATAGCTTTTCTTAAGCCAGCCCCAGGGAGGATCTCAATACCAGGGATTGGATATTTAATACTTCTGAAATGACATCTGGGAAAATTTCCAAGCTGTTTCTAAGAAACGAACAATTCTGGTTTTCTCAATTCAACGTTGATTTTTGCGGCCTACTCTCTTCTGGTCTGTGTGCTAGATGCTAGATAGAATTTGTTCAGTTCATGCTTGTTTTGTTCCTGCTGTGTGGCCTGTAGTGTGCTGGTTCCTGGGGATATAGAGGTGTGTAACACAATTCCTGTTGAAAAAAATGAAGTATACCAGCTAGTGGGAGAGGCAGGCAAGTAGATGGATAATTGTAGCCCAGTGTGGTAAGCGGTACTATACGTGGCATCTCCACAGTCCTAGGGGAGCTTGACAGAGATGCACTTGACCCGGTCTGGGGATTGGGACGTGGTGAGGGTTTCCGACAGGTCTTCCTGGAGGAATTGACACTTGGACTGAATCTTTCAGGACATAGCATGAATTCCTAGAATCATAGAGTAGAAAGAGGCTTTAGGAATTATTCTTCTCTTTACACATTAAAAGGAAGCTCTCCCTCTTTTTAACTTGATCAGAGTCAGGCTGCTCAGAACAATCTGTGTTTTGTGTAACTTTATTATTGAAGCTATTGCACTTATCTAAAAA